AATTCATCTATAAATGTGCAATTCCCTGCACAAAGAACGTGCACTGGTGGGAAGGCTGTATTGTGCAAATGTCACGTGATAAATCTCGCCATATTGTATTAAAATAGATTTACAAGAGGCATTATCGAGATTAAACGAACCACATCAGGTTCAGTTACATTCCCACCAAACGGAAGGGGGTAATATATTTTGTAAATTGACAGTCATCAAAAACGAAACGCACGCCTAATTGGAAAGTCAATATTACGGATTGATCAATTGTGGCAATAAACTTGTGAAACGAATGCACTTATGTAGACAATTGAATGGCCAGTTTGTTCTCCTTTATTTAGGTGTTGTTTCCCTCTAAAGGTGCGCGTGTCTATAGCGGAGTGTAAAACAGGACCAGTATTTCTGGAACGTGACGCGCACGCGACTGCGTCATAAACGTCCGGCGGATTATCGTGAAGTACCCGGCATGTAGAGACGGACAATCTAGTTGTAAAATAGGATACGGTAAACATGCCATTCAGTGACTACATTTGATCATTTAATGTCAAAAACTGACACCCTAAATGTCCACTCTGTGATATTTACGAAACGATTTTGAGATAAGATTTCAGTAGAATTGTGACTGACCACTGAATATCCTTTGTTGCTCGCCTCACCTGTTCGAATTACCTGTGTGTCTCTACCTGTACAACTTAACAGGGCGGTTTAATGACTGTGTGGTTTACGTTTGATTAGGCACATCACAGATCAGGATCCCTATCACATCTATTACTTTGAAATTTGCAGTTCATCAGTAAAAGTTACACATTTCAAGTGATGTTCAGTGCATAAATCAACATACATGTATGAAAAAAACCCAGTTCATAAAACAGTACCATTACTAAAGAGCATTAACCAAAACTTTACTTACTATCTCTTTTGTACCTTTTGAAGACAATTTAAACATTCATGTTCGGTTTGAAAGATATCTCTTTCTTAAATCCGGAAAAAGATATTTTATTATAAAACGAAGTTCATCTTCTCCATTGAGCTTTAACATGTTATTGCATTGTATTTACATGTATCTGTAATTCATCGAGCAACCCATCCCACCCCATCCCCATCCCCATCGCATTGGGGCATCAAATTTTAACCCGAACCCTACTTTCAATTTATCGGCGTATCAGTTGGCCGATGCTTTATCCATTCTTTATCTTTAGATATTCTTAAGTCCCTTAAAAATTACAGGATATCATTTTATTCTTGATAATTGATTTATCAATTTCATATTACAAGATATTCGTATGACACATTTTCAGTTAACTTCCCTGTAATTTCTAGCAAAATAATTTGTCGATGTGAAAAAGAAGATCATCCTTAAGCGGTGTTTGATCAGGCGGTAGCGACTGGACGCCGTTTGGTGACGGAATTGTCGCTCATGTGTTGTTTCGATTTACATTTTAATTTAATTCTACATCACTATCGCTTGTGTTTTGTGGCCCCATTACTCCGTAAATATATTTTATGGTGTAATAACGACTTGCTTCCCACGAGAACCGAAGCTGGACAGATCCCAGTCCAGCTCCCGGTGTCCATGGACACAGAGGGGCCGTGTGTCCGAACAATGGGCCTCGGTTCAGCCAGGACATTCAATGTGTCCGCCTCTGTCAGATATTGATACATTTGTGTGTGATAAGATTCGGTTCCATAACGGTTGATAGGTGAAATGAACTGCACTTGTTACAGAAGCGTACTGGCTGTCTCACCCAAGTACTTCAGTATTCGCCGTAACCGCGCAATGGCGTGGCTATTACCTAGGTAACGACACTGTGGCGCGTGCCACTCTAGGTGATACCGAAATTGACAAGGCCTGGAAAACAAGTGTTTGCTTTCGTTCACATATTGATAATATCATAAATATCTTCGTAACTAACATCACAACACTGGGCGCTGGTGGAAATCCGGACGTTTGTTCGGGTTTGATCGAAGTTTTTGTTTTTAATTATTTATTGTGAAATCTAAAAGCGTCTTGCACTGTTACATAGAAATGGTAATACACGTTAAGTATATATTGACGTATACGCCAGATTGAGTATAGTTGTGAGTTTTCAATTTATACATAACACAAAACGTGTACAGTCGCGGTCTTTATCTATTTAAGTTAGGATTTAAGGAATGAGGTGACAGTGGTCGATACAATAATAATGTTTCTTTATTATATATTTCAATACGTCGAAACAGTAGTCTCCACCGTTTAGAACGGATGTACATAATGTTGTAATGATGTTAGAGGTGTACTCAGTCATTTATTTAAACGGAGGACTATTATTGTTTGCTCCGTTAATTATGACTGTAGCTTTTGTTGATTATCAATTACACAGAATCAGTGTATTATTATAATTGCATTCCTAAAGTTGACAGTGCAGGTAAAAAGTTATGCTAGGGAGACCTAACTTACACAGAATTTCGGTTAATATAAACGTACATTAAGATCCTTAATTAACAAAACTTTTAACATCATTTCTGACATAAAATGATACTTATACAGCCAAATTCAGCAAACATATGCGATGAAAAGTCCTATTTCCTTTCTGAACTTTGAACGTCGAAAGTTGTTAACTGCACTTACAATGTAGAATTAGTTATTTAGACTACGTTGGTAGAACTAACACTTCACCTCGCAAAGTACGTATTCATTATATTTGAAAATTAAGTTTATTTTGTTTATAACCCTAAAATGAATTCCAATATTCGGTTTTTTTCTTATTAATAAGATAAACCCAGCACTAAATGACGAACAAAACTGAAATATTGATAGTGTCCACTAATGACCAACAGCTTTTAATAAGATGTGGGCCTTTTGAAAACAGAGAAGAGAGAAGCTCTGCTGACTACTTAAGTATGCAATATTTGCTTTAGTAAAGACATACTAGTTCACGTGTAGTTTGAGTTGATCTGCTGCTTCTATTCTAGCCTGCGCATGCGTATCGATCTGCATTTACGTTGTATGCATGTAAAAGTGCAATATAACCGAATCGAATTGAATTGAGTTAATTTTCACAAAAACAATTTGTAAAATTTAAATCTCTCATTAAAATATGGATCAGGGGGATTTTTTTTATTACTGTTTGACAAATTGGTACTATAAATATTTACTGATATTTATTTATAACTTTACCAACCCGGAGGAAGATTTCATATAAATCCTTAAATCATTTTTTTTAAACTTCGTTTGCCATAAAGAATACGGTACATGTAACAATAAAAGAGATGTCGTAATTTGGAACTGTTTGAATGGTGGTCATATAACTGTATATTTATGTCTTTTTCAGAATCTTTGAAAAAAGCTTGATCCGTATTTAATTTGAAATCATCATACAAATTGTAGTTTGTGCTAAAAATCTGCGATGACCATCAATATGTTAGCTAACGGGTGGTAAGTACGGACAAAATATGGAATCCCCTTTTGGAAAGATTGGTGTGTTTTTTTTGTATGGATAAGAATATCTAATATCGAATCACTGACAGAATCCTTAATTAACACACTTTTAAATTACATTAAAACGAGTACCTATCAGTGAAAAGTAAAGAAAACGGATTTATGTTCTAAGTTCTATTTGCTTTTTTTCCGGATTCTGTTTCTGAAAAAAATTATGTAAATTAAAATGTTTATATTCAGAAAGAAATTAAGTCTATAACAAAAGAAAAGCTTTCTTATATCTAAACTGGTTTTAAAAATGTTTCAATAGCTAACGAATCGATAAACATTTAAGTAAAACTCTAGTAGATTAGAAAACACGTTAAAGCGAACTCTGTAGATCGCACCGTTTATAAAGCTTGTGTTTATAGTCTATTATTTAAATCAAACGAGTGTGATGTTTTGATTTAAACATACTTTATTGTCTATTTTAACGAAATAGTATGTACACATTGCAATCGATTTAGTCGGAAACACGATCTTGGAATCTTAGTGGTTTTTAGGTACTACATGTATTAGGGACAAGTACATACAACTGCCCAGTAACATTAATTTACATAGCTTCCTTCAACTATTTTATTGAAGATGATAACATTTAATAAACTATATATCTGGGATGTTACTCCGTACTATTGAAAATGACACCTAAAACGATAAAATATAAAAGTATTGATAACGCTGCGAGAAAACTACTTCTATTGTAAACATTACTGTGGAAAAAAGATTGAAAATGAAATAAAAAAAAATAAATAAATAGACAAATAAATAATAATGAAAAAAATCCAAAAGTCGACGCGAACACGTATAGATTTGATACGAACGCATTACGACCAAATTAAGACTAGTCACTACTACCATAATCATTTTAATTGAGTGTCGTGTCTACTGCTTCGTTGTAATTCCATCTTATACCATTAATGTACCGTCTGTTGTACATTGGATTCTGAGTTTATGACGTTTTAAAACTTAAAATATTGCAGCTTAGCTTGGCTTCATATTTATCGCATAATTTCTTTGTAAGATCTTTATAACCAACAAATGGCCAGCCTAGTTTTAATTATGCGTAAACATCGGTGACCGTTAAACAAATATGTCGTGGTTGGCCATGTGGCCGTATAACGGTACACCTTCTAGGCTGAGAGATTTTCGATCCCTTTTCATCCTGGGGGTTACTCGTCAAACAAAAGCTTGAAACGGTCCGCCGCGACCCAAGACTATAGTATAATTAATGATTATTTAGCAAATCATGACCATTCTGCACACTATCCAGTCCCTCCAATCAGGGGCTCTGGGGCGGCGCGGGGCGGATACGTCACCAAGGCAGTACCACGACAGATGTGGTAGCCCTACTCTGGCCCCAGAATCCCATTCACAAAGTGATATGTATATTTGCATAATAATTAGTCCCGTCCACGGAGTGATATAAACGTGCTAGAAGTGACATATGGGATCAAACGGAAGTTGGAACTCTTCTGCGTGTGAGTCAAAGAGAGTGTAAAAATCTTCCGAACGTCAAATTCTCCGGGGACAAATTATTTTGGATGGAAAAACAGGCTCCGTGACTCAAGCTTAAGAGGAGTCTGAGGCGGGCATCGCTACAGAAGGAAGTACCGCTCGGCCCAAGTAAAACAAAGGTAATGTATACTTCTTCGTTTCTAATTACTGTATTTTTATTTATATTTACCGTATTTCAGTTTATCTTTAAAAACGTTTGTTTCTTTTAACATTTCTATATGTTTTATCATGACAATATTTTTCACTGTAATAATAATGGTTAACTAATCAGAAAAAATGTTTCATTTACATACAGGCTTAAAAGAAGGGACGTTATTTTAAATTAGTGACATTAACGTTGACTAATCATACACGTTATACGTAATACTATCCTACCGTTGATTATATAGCATACCCATTTCTATAATTCTATATATAATATTCAATGGTTGTCAATTTAATACAAAATATTTTGACGAATGTGAAAAGAACGTTATATTTCTGTATACATATGTATGTACTTTAACAAGAACTCTTATCAAGATTAACAATAAGCGCATTTTATCAAACACACGAATCGAAAATGCGACTAATTTTAGTGCAAGTTGATTTTTAAATCGAGGTTTTTAGGAATGATTAGTTATTTTGATCTAGTGCATGACAACTTAAAGTCGAATGAATGGATACTATATAAAACACGTTTGACAAATTAGGTTTTTTAAACTTATGTGAGAAGTTTGTTTTTATTTATATGTGCGTTCTAAATATCAGTTTGGCTGTCACGAAATAATTGTATATAAAGTAATAATTCAATTTTAATAATTTGAAAATTTTGATTTCAACATTTTAATAATTTTATTCGTAAATAAACTCACATTTTTTTGTGAAAAAGAATATTAAAAAAATAGAGTCTTAAAATATTATTGTACTTAATGACTATATGTGACATGTGGACTCACCGTGACTATTGTGGTAACCTGTGAAATTAATAATAATAGATATAAAACTAATACAATTAGCATATACATTAGTTAATTCAATTTTAAGGAATTCGCAGGAGCTGCCTTATCAGGCGCTAACTACTAGTCCTATGCCACCTGGCTAATATCTCCCTATGTGTGTATGTCTGCGTGTGCGCTGGAGATGTATTGTGTTCTGTTTGTAGTGGGACCGTGCTTCCAACGGCATATTTTAAAGTGCCACCTCACTTGAATGCTACAGCACAGATACCGCAACATCCACCCAAGATCATTTTATACTCCACATGGGTTGTTAGAGTTGTGTGGGCAGGATAAAAACACTTTCTCTGATATTCTATGCGTACGACGACTACGAGGACCGAACCCCGGCCGTCTGCGTGGAAGGCCGAAGTGTTAACCACTCGACCAATCCGCCCATGAAATTGACAGAGTTGCCTGGGCTATTGTGGCAAATGAAACATGTGAATGATATCACAATATATTGGGAAACTGGTATATCGCAATACACCAGTAAATCGTATCGCATTGCAATACATAAATGAAATATTTTTGCATTGCAATATTATTCCAAAGCTTGTTTTTATGCATTATGCTAGGAGGTTTTAACTTCATAAAACACTACATACTCTTAAGAGTTATGCCAATAACCATTCATAGATATGCTATACTAGTGTTGGGAATCTGTTTAAATTTCATAACTGATGGATTGTTAAGCAATAATTTTTAATCTTTGTGATCCATATTATATATGATTTGGTTTGATATCATACTGGCATCAATTTCTTATGAAATTGAACATATTTCCCATGACTTGTATCACAATACGTATAGCAAGACATATATTGTGTATTGCAATATATCGTGATCTCCTCCAGGTGTATTTTGACACCCCTACAATACAGAGTAGCTGACGCAATCTTAACGAATCATTTACATATGTACGTATATACTTATGGTAAAGTTAATGTGTGGTAAGTCAATACCCAGTTATAATAAAAGGGAGGGTTAGAACCAAACCCAATTAAATGCATTTCTTATTGATTTTAATCATAAAGCTCTTACAGTGTTTTTACAATGCAAAATATGTATTGTGGTATTTACAGTTTGTAATATGCAGTCTGTATACATACACACCGTAATACATACATTTTTTATCACGGTATAAACATTTTCAATTATTTCAGACTTTCCTTGATGTGCCATTTGAAGTATTTGACACTGACTGTTAAAGTGAAAATCATTGCCTCATTCTCACTTGTGAAAAAACCCACCCAAATTCTTGGATGTAAACCGATGAAAATACAAAATACAACACACGTGAGTATAATAAACAATCAGAGATCTCGAAAAATGCATGTAAGATATTGTCCTTGATTGTGACGCCATAACATTCTGACGTCTCAAAGCAAGACCCCCAACCATAAGCGATTCCGATATTCGTTACCGATGGTCATTCACTGTATATTAACAATCTCAGTGTAACCAACAGAACAGTTAATGATTTACCGTTGAATAGCACTATCTTTCACGAGTTCGACAGAATATTACTATATTTTCAAGAGTGTTGGCGCACTCATAAAAATATTAAAGTATTATGCAACACTCGTGGAATATAGATGTATTCGACGGGAAACCATTGCTATATCCTCTGTGTTAACGTGACGTAATGGGAGGAAGTTACGTCACTATCGATACTGGACAGTCTGGACCATTCAATTAATTAACTTAGTCATCAATTATACATATAACATCATTATACCGCGGCCACCATACAGTCGCGAACAGTTTCATAATGTGTTTTAGTTTGCGATATTGTGTAGGGAAAAATGTTGGTAATGATCTGTTAGATCAGTGATATAGGAAATCAACTGATGTACCCTACTAATTGTTCCTTCATAAACATCTGAAACAAGAAAGCGCATGCGCAAAACCTCTAGCGCACCTTACATACACACTTGTATTTTTACATTCGAAATATTGGAACACCATTTGCTGACGTTAACGACCAAACTATGGATTATTGTATGTTATCTGATATTTTACCTCGAGGCTAATGAACACTGTTTGGTTCTAGGACAGCATCATGAATGTAGTCTTTGGAAACATATATGTCATGAAGCTTATTGATGAATTCGTGTTATGAAGTATTGAGACAACTCCGGGACATATTCGTGCAATAAAGCGTTTGGAAAAAAATCATACTATATAGTTTCGAGATTTTTCATGCAATTAATATATTGATATTTATTCTGGTTTACACCGGCATAACATGATTAACGGTCATATTATTTTAGTTGTAATTTGCTGATACCACTGCCTATGAATGCCAACTGAAAGCGGTTCAATACTTATATTTACCATTTTAAGAATCTGTTCATCCCATAGAAAATTCAATTACACTTATTATTATTTAGCATTTAGTTCAAATAATATATGTATCGTGTATGCTTGTTTAATGAATAGAACAGCCGTCACCCAGGGAGGGTCAGTGGTATCGAACGTAACAATTATGACGTCATAATAATGATGAAGTCAACAATCGGTCTATGGCATTCATAGCCTATATGAATTCCAACTGAATTTGGTAGGGTTATATAGTGGCAATGCCATACGATGGTAAGTATATACAGTTGAATGGCAATATCACGACCCGTTTATTTACGTCATAATCATTATGACGTCATAATGTTAACGGTACAATTGAGCGTGCATGCGATACTAGCCCTTATTGGGTAAAGGCAGTTACAGTATGTTAATTGAACACGATATTATAGCTTGTTTGAAAAAAAATATCTTGAATCGTTAAAACAGTAACCATTCAAGCCTTTTTCAGTTAACCTTCATATTGCCAATATTGACAAAACGGAAAACTTGCAAATTCAACATTTGCTGATTTTAATTGACTACACAAAACATTGAATTGTTATCTGATTTAAGTTTAGAATTATTTTCACCCGGTCCAGTTGTATGTACATGTAATTATGTAATAATATTTATATAAACAGAAACTTTATGACGTCACGATGGCAATGTCGTCAAAATAAGCAAGCATACATATAAATATAAATTGACCATATGTGCAAATTGTACGTTCGGTGGGTGCATACAAATAAATATCATCAAATTAAATAGCAAACCAACTATCTGTTAATTAGTAACATATACATAATACAACAGTTTCTTAATCATAAGCTATGGTATCTGATGCTTTGTGTTCCTGTTTGGTCAATGTATAATAATACCTAACACCGAAGCATTGTAATCTCGTATGCCTGAGAAGAAGTTTCATCTTAGCGATCCCGGTAAAATCCACGCTGGCTGGGCACGCGTTAGGGTGAGGGCTAGTGTTAATTGCGGGTGCCGAGCCGGTGTATTATTATGATCTACGTGGACATTAGACTGTCAAGTTTCAATAAAAATCCGGAATAAACATAGCCAAATTATAGAGTTTCCAGAACAAACAGACAATAAAAGGGATTCTTTCTGTCACTGTCTCAGTGGTGTCCAGTCAATGGTCATTCAGCTCCACAATGGCCACTTGATCAAGTGGCGATATTACCGGCAGGTGTGATCACCAGTCATGTGTCCGGTCAAGCGAACCCGTGTCCGGGCCGGCTTTTATACTCTCCCTGTGGTCAAGACTAATTTTGAAATCAGAGGCGTAAAATCAAGTTTCCGGAGTTCGGTCTGACGATCAAGTGCGAGGCAGTCATAAGATGTCCCGTGGTCCCTTTTGCTCTCGATGGTAATGACATGGAAGTGTCCGGCCACGTTTGAAGTGCCGTCTCATTTGTTTTTTGGCCGACAATGACGATTATCATACTTTTGAAAAAGACCCATGACAAATATTAATGTGATTCGCCCATGATCTGAGGGCAAATGGAAAAATTCAATTAAGACAAAAAGTGACAATTAATTCGTTTGATAGAGCACGTGTTTGAAGTAAAAAGCGAGAGGTTAACGATTCCTTAGAAACTAGCCCCCTCCTCATTTGACAAATATGACAGTTCGCCCGATTCTGGATTCACCGCTGTAAGGTAAAGAGTTTGGTAATTAGATGGGACTTAAGATGGTCTGTAGAAATAAGAACCTAGCTACGAGACTTTTAGTGCTCTAAACTGTGCTCGAAAGTGTCCATCGTCTGAGTACATGAAATATGCAGTCATTGGTTCTCACTTCTGATTCCCGAATTTGTAAAATGAGAAACCATCATTTCAGGAATTCAATTTTACAATAAGGTCCCTATGTTATGTCTACAGTTGGTTATATGGACCGTTTGTAGGAGAGCTAGGCCTACGCTACCAGACGAGAATCGGTAAGGCCACCGGACACTCATTGTTAACCCTGCTCCCGTCCGTTGGACATGCTTCTCGGACTCGTGTGTTAGCGGGCTCCGCGCACGAAGCATGTGTCCAGGGGCGGCTAGTCTCAATAGGCACGTGCAGTCCATGTGCTAGCTGTCATTATAGTCGCTCATTAATATATTTTGTGACGTCACATAATCAATCTTCTTTTTTTCATATCTAAATTTGTTTCTTATTTATTGAAATCAATTCGTATTGCAGAAATGAAAACTAAATAAGTATCATCATAATGAAGTTATATTCTAATAATTAGTATAGATATTCGATTTTGTATTTATTTTCTTAACAATCAATTTTAAAAACCTGTTGATATTTTTTTGTTTATACACTCTTGCAAAACCAGAAGAAATAATAACAATATCTGCAAGTGGTGGAAACGAGTGGCAGGTCTACACGTTCTTGTGATTAGAACTGTTAGGGTGGAGATTTCTGTGGTCGGGTGGTACAGAAAGGGCTGTCAACATTACATTCACCAAATCTGTCTTCCATGCACCTTACAGATCTATCTGTAAATTATTTATCCATTATTGATTTCCCTAAGAAATTAAGAAGATGACAGGAGTATAGAGTGTTGTATGACCCGTGTGTGACGTCCATTAAAGTACATGGCCCCACGAGAACAGGGCCAGACATCGACCCGCAGTCCCGAGGGAGTCAGGGCCGGGCGTTACGGACTGGTACCTATGATTAAACTTTTATGTGGGGGCTATAATTGTGGGCTGTATAGTCTCCCTGACAATGGACATCACTTCTGTATCTCAAAAATACCAGTTTTATACACAATTGCATGGACACAAGCAAGGCAAATTACAATTCTGGGAAATTTTGTTAATATTTTATAAGTTTAATCAAAATATATAGCTGATTGGGGAGGCGATAATGCTGATTCGTCCTCTAGACTTTCGACACAGACCTTAAAACAGAATATCAATGTAGCAACACTATCGTAGAGACGCTTGACGAATTAATTACCATATACCTGATTGTGATATAGACTACGGAGCCTTGCCAGTTGTGTGGGCCTCGAGCCTTTATGGTGTTCAGGGGTGAGACAAGTAACCTCATTAAAGTCTAAAGGTAGATATAGATTGATTATTATACGTATATTGATCTGTATCGGTGTCTAATAATGCGCCGACGAGGGTTTTGTTTGACTTGTAGACAAGCACGAGACACCATGTAGCTCCGGTAGTCCCGTTATGTTCCACGTGAGGAAAAAGGGAACAGATGGCGCACAAGTCTGGAGCTTCGTTTACAGCAAATCATGTGACGTAATTTCACGCGCGGTGGGAGTCACGTTTAATTTAGAAAACGAAGACGGGCACCGAAGCCGGCACGAGTAGAATTAGATTGTCATCGACTGAAGCCTGTTTGGGGGGAAGGAGAACAAACTAATTTAATCATATCAATTGATATAAGATTGTCTTGCCATTTGTTTTATTGTTCCACCGAGGCCGTAGGCAAATTTAGACTATCAGAGTTTTCTAATTAGCATTTAAGAATACACCCGTCTGAAATTAAATGCTATATGCAGCTAGTTGTTTTATGTGTTGCGCGAGCTGATGAGTGAGCGTGATTAGGTGATTGTCGGCAGCACGAGCGATCATACAACGTCACCGTGGGAATAAATAGCCCCGGGGTGTCGGGGATACACAGTCCCTGGATATCAGGAATAAACTGTCCCAGGTTGTCGGGAATACATACTCCCCGGGAAACGGGGATAACGGTCCCGGGGAATCGGGGCTGAATAAGTATTGTAGGGAATACATACCCCCATGGAATCGAGAATAACTGCCCGGGGATGCATTTTCCTAAGTAGTCGAGAATAAATAGCCTCGGGAAAGAAGGAGTAAACTGTTACACGTGGTGTCGAGGATATATTTTTTCGGGGAAATATTAGAATGACTTCTATCTCTAGTTGTCGTGGATAAATGATCACGGGAAGTTGGCATT